ATATTATTATTATTATTCAACCCTGTTAGGGAAAAGAGAAAACATAAATTATTTAAATCATATTATCTTTCATATCAATTGTAGTTATTTACTTATTCTATTCAATATTCTACACGCTTGTGCCTTTTTTTACTTTTTATCCGATTTCTAATCTTTTTATTAAATGTATTTAAATTCTATTTCAAATGACTATTTACTAAGTGTTTATATGTTGCTCTTTATTGATGTTATTTTCAATTATATCCTACTTCAACAATATTAGGCTAGAAAAATAGATATAAAAGTATATCAGCATACTATCCAGACTCATTATTAATAAATACTCTTAAATTTTAATAAATGTTAATGAATAAAGTGGTCAATAAAATGAATATAAAATATAATTTAGTTGGTTAATTTTTAAGAATATTAAGTTGATCTTTCTACATTCTTCTGATTTTGTTTTTGAAAGAATATTTAATGATTTCTATTTGAGGTTGTTTAAGGATTTTTGAGATTGTATTATCTTTTTATCAAGATTATTTAATTAATGATGGATATGATTTGTAGGTGATATTAATAAGAAAATTTGAAAAGAAGCATTTTAGAATGATCTTCATAAAGTATTAGTTTTTGTTACTCATTAGAATCAGCATTTTCAGAGGTAAATTAAATAAATTTTTTTCATTATCTTTCGATTAAGAAATACCATTTACAGCAGAAATGAATTCTTGGCCTTTTTTTTTTGGTAATATTAAGGTTTTATGATATGTTGGTTCACCGTTAAATTAATTATCTTTACGAGGCTCAACAAATACGACTTAAACACAATCAAAGCTTTCAATAATTATGGATTATAACAAAAAATTATATTCTTTACAAATGCAAAAAGGGTTTTTTTTGTTATTTTTTTCGAATTACTCTCCTCATTCCTAACAGATGAGAAAGACTTATGATATAATTATAAAAAGTATTCAACTAAATTATGATCAATCCATTTTTAAATAATCTCTGAAATAATTGTTAAGTCTTGTTAAGGAACATATAATTAAAAATTAATCTCTTAGTGCAAAGTTGTGGAATGATAATCTTTAACTTAAGCGTATTTTGTGTAAATTATATAGTAGTTTTTGTACTACGTCCCTGATTTTTATTTGAAATACATAATCAAATACTTTAGATTGGGGTCGATTATTACCCATCTAATATAATGAATATTCTTATCAATTGCAGATACAAATTTCTTGATATATTTGGTATCAAGTCCTCTCTGAACCCTAAATATCTTCCAAATATCTACACATTAGTATTTTGATAATAAGTATATCTTAAAATATTGAGAAAGTAAAATTCACATAAAAATTTAAGCATGTGTTCATGATGAAATTGCGAGAAATTTGTTCTTCTAAACTTCTCCAAATACAAGATAACTAAATTTATTTCATTCTGGAATGAAAGGAAAAAGTTATTTATGCAGAATTTCTTTGATTAAATACTTTTTCAAATAATTGCTTAAGAAATCTGTCAATACTTAGGTTAGTTTTGTTTTATTTCTATTTTTTGTTCACAGAAAATTTCAGAAATATTTTAGAAGCTCCAGAAGACTAAAAGACAAGTGTTATTGAAAAGAAAATATTACAATAGCCAGCTCGGTGACAAGTGGGAAAGAGAATGATGTTATTTCCCATATTCTCAATAAATATGAAGTCAGTTCAAAAATAGGTAGATTAATGAAAGTTTTCAGAAATCCGATTAAGCAGTGACTTTACCTATCTTTTTAATTTAAAAGAGGTTTTTCTAAGATGTCTTTCATTCTGATTTCTGGGAAAAAAGATTATCATTTCTGGATCAATTTTAATCAATATTTATTTTGGATATATTATGTGTTAATATTAATCAATTATTAGTTTTGATTCCAGATAATATTGATATATTTTATGAAAGATAATACATATTTGATGTTATTGTATTGAATCAACAAAGAATATAGAATTCTTTTTAGCAATAATATGATTTATTGTAGTTCTTGTGCCAGTTTCATCAATTTTTCTTTTTCCATTATTTTCTTTATCATTAAATTATCTGAAACTCTATCATTCATATATTTGATACCAGTTTGAGTAATTCTCTTGTTGAAATTATCTACTTTCTTGATGTAGACTATTATAAAAAGCTATTTAGCAAAGTTTTCTATAAAGAAATATCTATTTCATACTAAATAATCATCAAAATTTTTTATATCTGTAATAGTTACATTTTTTCTCTAAAAATACTTTTTCAAATATTAATTTGATTGTTTAATAATTATGAAAGCTTGAAGGATTTTCAATTTACACACTACTCAGCAAAAATATTATAAAAGGAGGATATTAGTTTGTAATCATTTTTATTTAGACTTTATTTGTATTTTTTAAATTTTATAGTGATTTCTAGAAACATTTTTGGAGGGTTCTTTTGAATATCACTTCCTCGACTCTTAAACTACTTTGAAGCTTATTTTAAGCTGATTTACTTGCATTTCAAATAGTAACTAATGATTATTCCTCATTTAATTTGTAATTAAAGCAAATCATCGTCTATTTTGTATTTCTTTTTTAAAATTAAAAGAATATACATATCATTAAAATTGAAATTTCTGAAAACAATATATGTTAAAATTGATTTATATTATATGAAGGAGATTACTTTAAAAAAACTGAGATTTTTCTTACTATTATTTGATTCTATATATATTAATAGTTGAGTATAAATTGATTATTAATTTTTATGAATTTTCGATCAAACCATTCCAACCAGTATTAAAGGTTTATTACCAAGCTTCCCACCAAGTTTTTTCCAAATCTTATACCTGAAATGATAAATAAAACACGAAAGCAATCAAAAGCAGAAAAAATTGAAGAATTCGTCCTAATTTTCGAAGATTACTTTAAAAATTTATTAGGTATTGAAAAAAATTAAGAGGATTCGCTTGAATTTGTTAATAATATTGAAGGTTACAAGGATTAATAAAGAGATTTTGATGAACCTGAAGTAGTGATGAGGTAATACTCAATAATATAAAGTTTACCAAATCCAGATTAAATTTCTTAAGAATTTCAGCCTCTCTAAAAACAATATGAAATTTTTGAGCAAATTATTCAAGCCTTAGTTCTAGAGTAAAAGTCTATATAGGATAAATTATTTTTAAAAGCAATTGAAATTGCTTTCATTTAGCTGTAAGATCATAAGATCTATTCTTTATTTGAGCAAAGAACAAGAGGGTTAGAAACTATTCCAAGTGAGTAAAGGAATGCTATGAATTTATTAGGAACTAACTAACAGATTTTAGATTAAAGTCACTAATATTGCTGCTTTATTGAACACAACAATTATAATCATAAATCATAAGATTTTGGGTTTTGTTAAAGAGAAGTGTATTTTAGAAAAATCGTTCACTAATTTAGGTAAGATTTATTTGAATTAGCATCATTAAATAAATGGAATATTTAGTTGACCACTCAGCAAATTTAAATTGATTTTCAAAAAATTTAATAATAATAATAAAAAGCATTTAGTCAAGGAGATTATTTAAGATAGATAAAATCTTCATGGCATAAAACTTAAAATGAAACATCTGACCTTTTAACGTTAGTGAGAAACATTTTAATCATATAATTTTCCCGAAAAGGATTTGTTGTTAGATCCATTCTTTCTAACGATGGTTTAAAAATTTATCTTTTACTCTATATGCCTGAATAAATGTTAGAAATAGCTGCTGAAAATTTTTAACTGCAGAAAAAATTATGTTTTTGTTTTTCAGATTTATTTTCCCTTGAGCCAGTTGATAAATAATTAAGACCTTTACGTTTAAATGGCAGATTATGGAAACCTGATGAATATAATATTTCTTCGTACTTCTAATATTTAAGGCCATTAATTATTGAGTAAATAATGCAAATAAATTTTAAGAGATTAGCTAGAGATGTTGGTTAAAGTAATATTAATAATGAATTGTTTGAGTATGGTAAAGTACATTTTTACGGTGATTGGGAAGGTCCGACTGATGATGAATGGACAGCATATTACATATATCTTGTTCATCTTAATAAACAGATTTAAATTTAAAGAAAGTAATATTTTATAGAGAGCGATATTGCTTTAATCTTGGATAAATAAAAAAGTGTAGAAGAATTATTTGCAATAAGAACTGGACAAAACCCAAAAGGATATTTTGAATTTAAGGAGGAAGAATAAGAGTAGATATAGGTTCTTTTTGAAAAAATTAGACAGCTTTAAGATTAATCAAATAAAATACAATTATCTTAAAAACTTCCAATTCTAAAAAAAATTAAATTGTTTAAATAGTAATAATTAGCGTTTAATTATTTTTTGATTTTTTAAGAAGCTTTAAAAGTAGCGAATAGTACTGCTTAAACATTAAAAACACTTTGGGATAGATATTCTTAATAGCCTTTTGAACTTTACATTCCCTTTATCCTTCGTTAACATTCATAATCAATTAAAACTATTGCTAAATCCTAATTGAAATGGTCCAGGTATATTTCCAAATAAAGTCATCAAATTACTCTATTTCCAACTAATGAAAGATTAAAGTTAGCATATTTTGTTCTTTCAAAAACAATTCGTTTAGAAGTATTTCTCAATATGAAACTTATAAACTCCATTTTTTGTTTACACAATAAATATGAATTATATGGTATATGCAAAAATCATTAATAGGATGTCAATTAGGATATCTATATGTATGAATAATAACCTTTTGATTTATCTAATAAATGGAATTTAAATTATTTATATCCTTGGTCAATGCCCATAAGTAAAATTTGCATATACTTTGGTGAAAAAATAGGATTATACTTTAAATTTTCTTCGTATTATATTAAATTTTTTACAATTATGGCAGCCTTGGGATTTATGTGCAATCTTCTTATGTATTCAACTAACACTGAAAATAACAATATATCCTTAGTGATTTAAACTATATTTTCCATTTGTAATGTAAATTTAAATTGCTTTATAACTGACTATTGGAGTTAGACATAATTTGCATTTAACATTTAAAATGGTTAAAATTATAATTATAAATATAATTAAATTAGGAGTTCTTTTAAAGGGGAATAAATAAGATCCATCTCAACAGATCAATTAAATTTTACAGGGATAATTCACTTTCAATTTTTTTGGAGAATAAGTATTTCTATTTTTGTTCTTATTTTAATTTTTGGATCTGATGTATGTATAACTATAGGACTTTACTTCTTTAATTTATATCTTGAAAGTATCTTTATTAAGGCTGGTATTTAATTTAAAAATTTTGAAATAATAGTAACAGCTATTTTGAATTTTTCAATATAAATAATTGTTGAATACTATTATGAATCTATTGCTGTAATTTTAACAGATTTTGAAAATTTTTACACAGTTGAACATTATGAAAATAGTTATTGTCTAAAAAAGTATGCTCTTATTTGTTTTTCTTAATTATTTCCACTGATGATGTTATGTTATCTGAATGGATCATTAAATCTAAAATGTTCCCTTAATAATTGCATTGAATAAGCAGAATATTTTTTTGGTACTTCTGTATCTTTAATTCTATTCCACTAATTAGGGAAATTTTTAATTACCATAATTAATGTAAAAAGGAGAACTAAAATAATAAACAATAGTTAGTAAAACAACAATTTATTGTCATATATCGAAAATTAAGAATCTTAAATTCCTTTTCAGGAGAGTCAAGAAAAATATGGAATTATTGATGAATATATGAAATTTTTTGTACTATCAACATTAATCAATATGTTTGGAGGTTTATTCCCGTTAAGTTATACTTTGTTTTGGTTCTGGATGATTTTATAATTTTAGATAGTAAAATTTAGACTGTTATTTTAAATTTAAAGACCTTGGCCTAAAGGAGATAGTTCTTTAGGAATTTGGTCTGAAATACATTAATTTATTAATTTAATTAGTTTACTAAATAATTCTAGTTTAATTTGTGTTTATTATTACCATTATCTGTAGGATGATGTTATCTAACTATTTGTCACTTTATTATTTTATAATTTCTTTATTAAATATATTACAAAAACAACTTTTTAAAGCCCTCCATTAATACTTGAGTACATAATCAAAAGAGGCAATTACATTTATTAAAATAATATTAAGATTCTTACAAATAGGAACACTAGAAGAGAAAAAGAGAATAAAGTATAATTGCAAAGATGTCCTTTATATAAAGTATTTGGATCTAATGGAATGCAAAGAGCTGATTATTTTGAAACAATTAGTTCAGATGATGAAATCTTAGACCATTAAAGAAAAAAAATTTAACTGATTTCTTAAAGATTAGTGGAACAGGAAACTAATTATATCTTTTAAAAAGCAGAAATAATTCAAAATGAAGATCATATTAAGTAAATGTAAAGCCCTATAAATTCAATTTCTTCAAAACACTCAAATTCTAGCCCATTAAATACTGTTTCCAGTCCTCTATTTACTATATCTAGTTCAAAGCAGAACAACAGAACGAAAACTATTTTTGAGCCTTTTGAACAGACAACTAATTTAATGTCAATTTCAACTAAAGATATACAAAAACAAGGAAAAAGTAAGTTTCAATTTATGATTACTGAAATTATGAAGAAATTGCAATAAGTAGATAAATTAGACTATTAGTTTTTTTATAATTATTATAAAAAGCGTACTACAAACTGGGCATTTTAAATATAATCTTGTAAATTAGGATCCAAACAGTTAATAAAAGACAGAACAATTATATGGAGATTTTTTTTCCGACTTCATTTATTATCATCTTATAACATGTTGTGGAATGATTATAGATTGGTTTAAAGTTAATCTTATATAAAGAGAAAATAAAAAGCATTACATAATCTTGATTATAAGAGATTTTAAATATTAAAGGCAAGTTTTGAGAATCAAAATAAATATTTTAAAGCAGAGGCAGCATTAAAGTTTAGCAAACAATTTAGATAGTTTGGTAATTAACTCACTTTGGAAGAAAGAAAAGAATATAATGAGCTTGTTGTAAAATATAATAAATTTATCGAAAAAAAATCATGGCTGAATTGTAGAAAAGTATCAGTTTTCAGATATAAGGGTTTGTTTTTTAGAGGATTTCGTAAGCAAAGTATAAGAAAATAGGCCATATAATTTGTTTTAGAATATTATGAGGCAACAAAAAAATTAGAGGAGGCTCAAAATGGATCAGATATACATAAAAAGTTTAACAATTTAGTCCAATACACACAAATAAATTAATATAATTTAGAATTGTTCATAGATTTATTTAATAAATTAGAATATGAGTAATAATTTGATATTTATCTAGGTAAAAAAAAAGTTATATATTTCCTTCAGTTAACGGAAGAATTTAATAAAAAAATTATTACTTAAACTCTCTGAAATCAGAAGTTTTTAAAAATATAATAGATAAATCCAAAGATACTTATATATTTGAATAATATTCTACAAAATTAGAAGAGTTTGTTTTATAATATTGCTTCGATGAAATGAATCAAATACCGATTCTAAAAATGAAAAAGCATCTTCATGATCTTCTCTGGATTGTTGAAATAGATGATTAAGAATATTTAATGCAATTTTTTCAAATTAAGCATGGATAATAATTGCAATTTTTAAGGTATCATAATGATGGTATGGGTGTCTTTGTGAGTGAAAGTAAAAATTACATCAAATTACTCAATATTATTGATTAAATTGATGATTTTTTAATTAAAGCTTATTGCATATCATTATACCCATGTAGAGATTCTAAAACTTTATATCAAGTAATAAAATTTAGAAAAAAGCATTCCCTTCATTATACAATAGATTAATTAAGGTAATTTTTGTATGCTAATTTAATTATATTATCAAAGGGTATTGTATAATCGATTTCTATTTATAATTACGTTTTAATTAATAATGAATATATGATTTTAAATTCTATTTATCAAGATGACAATCCTTTATTATAATTAGTTTAAGTTGTAATCGAAATGATTTTGCTTGACCCGATCAAAAATTTTGGGGAAGCTCTTAAATTCGTAGAACACCCCTTATTACCATTTTTAATGGAGATATTATATAACGATTTAACAGCTAGTTAGGCCTTATAAAATATGGAAAAATAAGATCCATTTTCAGATATTAATTTTTAATTGAATCACAATTAAAAAGATGAATGTTATTAATTTTATATCGAAAATATGAAACACCAAATCAACTTTCATCTTCGAATGAAATAATTCTAAAAATCAATAGTTTTGATTTAGGAAGTTTAAGATTATCTGGCTATCCAACATAATGTACTAACCATAAACTTTATGGAAACATTCTTAGATTATATCTCGAGAGATATATAAACATATCTTCTAAAATCACATGAAATAAAAAAAATTTTAGACACTTTATTAATATTTTATTTTAAGATATCTGCTCTTTTTGGCTTAAAACAATAAATTGAACCTGAAAACTCATAAATTATTTCAGCAATAAAAAAATGCTGCAGTTAGCTAAAAATTATTCTTAAATAATTAAGCTTTAATATAAAATTAGAAAACCTATCTGAAGTAGAGCATCGCACAATTTTGAAATAAAAGTTAAAATAAACAATAGACAATTAGTCATCTGTAAGCTCATTTGAAAGATTAAATTTAATAAATACTCTGAGAAAAAATTCAAAATACATATTACTACTTATTTAATTTCACACTTAGATTTAAAGATACAAAAATCAATTTACTTTAATAAAAGCAATTTATAATTATTTCAATAAAAATTTTATTCTTGCAGATCTTTAATATATTCAAATAATTCAGAGAGAAGAGTAATTAGCTTTTCGTGAGCCTATCCCAAAATTTTTGAATGTGCCTCTTGATCATACACCAGGTTTAATTAATTTAAAGTAATCTTCTCCTTTAGATGAAGACAATGATGATATAAGAAATGAAGAATTCTCAATAAAATCTGAAGGAATTATAGATAGGAACACATTATACTGCACATAATTAACATATTTTAAATATCTTCATTTAATTAACTTATATGATAATAGAAATGAAGAATTTAAAAAATATTATTTAGAATTTCAACAAATTGAAGGAGCTCATATTCCAGTTTATAAATTTTATTTGAATCAACTTAAATTGCTTAATAAAGAAGAAATTGAATAACAAGATGAAAATTATGAAGAGTAATGTGATGTTGGGAAGTATTTAACAATAAAGTACAATAAGTGGAAGGAAATTACCCACAATAAATAAGTAGACTTAATAGAATCAGATGATGCTGAGCTCTTGAAATTTTAGGTAATGATATTCTCGAATATTTAACCAACTTTTAAAAATAGAAAAATTTTATAACATTCAATGTAATTATGTGCTTAATCAAAGAATAATTGCTACAATTTATTATTTAGAATTAAATTAATTTAGTTTATTTTACATCTTGATAACGTTTAACCAGTTAACCATAACATATCTTAATTTATCTAAAAAACTAAATTCTGCAGTTAAAGTTAATAATCCTTTATTGAATTATTAAAGCAGATACACCAATAGATTTAACTAAAATAAGATTCTTGGTTTTTTCATTCAAGTTTAGAAGAATTATAGGTCTTCTATTATCTTTCAGTATGTTTCGCATATTCTCCTAAGCATATTGAAAATCTTTTATTAGATGAAACAGAAATTGCAAAACATGCTATTAATTAAATAAAAAAATTTTAATTTAAGTCAAAATTCTATTGCTAAACTCTCAAGTGTACATAAATTAACAACAGAAAAGGATATTAGCTTTAATTTGATTCAAGCTTATGTAAGTAGCAATAATAATAACTCTTTTGCTAATTTTTAAATTGTAGCTTAAAGTAATATCATAATTTAAAAGGAGCATATTAATAAATTTTAGAATGTTAGAGCGATAATATTGAACCATCAATATTTGTACTAGCTTTAATTCATAATTATTTATAACTGCAATAATATGATTTGGCGGACTTGATGACCTAATTTTCCTTGAAGTTGATATAATGTTAAGCGTTGATTTTTGAAAAAAAGCATAATGGTTTTGAATAGGATCTTTATGTTATAGAAAGCTTATATAAAGGTAATAACAATTGCATACCTTATCCTGAGAAGTACTTATTTGAATATTCAGAAACCTTTTATCATTTTGAAGATGTAAAGTTTTATGCTTAATATATACTATTCAACATTATGATGAATTAAAATTACTATTTGATGTAAGAAATTGCTTCAAAAGTAATAAAAACTTTAAAAGGAAATTAAATTTATTGTCGCCTCATACACATATTCGAATATTAATTAGATGCTATTAATGCAATGATTGGGAAAATTGATCCAAAAACTTAGCGTAATTATTAAGACTTAGAAAAGATTGAAAGTGATCTGAGCTTAAATAATTATTTAGAAAAAACCCTTATCTATGCTATTTTAGCTCTTTTATAGTGCAAATATCATCTTAATTTAATCGATTATGAAAATGCCTTGAAATATTCAGAAAAAGTTCTGAAATATGTTGTGACTTACTTGAAATAAGAATAGACAATACTATCAATAATAAATCGCAAATTAGTAAGATTTATTTTATTATATAGATATAAGAATATCCAGTTCATATACTTTTTAAAGATTTAAAAATAATCGAATATGAATATCTAATAGATGAAATAGTAGATTCTGATTACATACATTTATTTAATAAAGATTTCATCAATGAAGCTATACTAAATCATTTAAGAATATTAATAAATTTAGGTAAAAATGTTCCTAAAGTTAATATACTCTTCTCTTTATAATTAAGCTAAATTCATAAGACTCATCAACCTTATTTATAAATGATTTATGCTATGTATTTTAATTTTCTGTTAAAGGAAAAAGATAATAAATTGATAGAAAATTTATTAGTAGATGAATCAAATTAAATAGCATAAATTCGGAAAAAAATAAAAGATGAAGAAATGAAATATAATGCTCATAGTTCCTTAAAATTATATACAGAATCAGATGCAGGTTTAATTCATTAAAATTTAATCTTCTTAGATTTTCAATTAAATGTATTATTAAATTCAAAAAATAAAGTTAATAAAAAATTGATTAATAATTGGATATTATCAAGTACCTAAAAAGCAATAAATGGTTATTAAAATATTCAATAAACAATCTCATACTTAGTTCATCCTCATATCTCAATTCTTTATATAATACAATATGAATCATTTTAATTTTTAAACTAAATTTAAAAGGCCTAAGATATGATTGATCTTACAAATGAAAGTATATCTGGATGGTATGAAGAAAATAAACACCCTTTTTAAGGAGTATTTTTATATTATTTAGGAATTCATGATCGCTGGCTTTACTCATAATATGCAAGATGCTTAAAAACTATAAATTAATTAAACAGGTTTGATATTGATGAAATAACAAGAATTGTTTAAGGATTAATATATTAAGAAAAACAATTAATTGCTATATTGGATAACAACACTTAAAATAGAACAAATTAATTTGGAGATTTAATTAATGAATATCTAATTGTAAGTATAGGAAGAAAGCCTAAACAGATTCGTGAGATCTCTAAGTTTAATCTAGATGTGTAAAGTATCCTAGATGATGTTTTAGAAAAGAGTTCTATTAAGACACTGAATGGGATATAAAAGTTTTTCGATGTAAGTATTATTTATTTTTCAGGCATTAGCTGTATTTTATTAAATAGGCACAGAACATAATTGCAAGGATTTAATAAAGAGAATTATCGTTGAATCTAATTGATTATATTGAGGGTTTTTGTTATATTGTGATTAACAAATCTATATAAATTAAGGTTAAAATTGTTTATTATATAATTTTTGACATTAAATATTAATTGAAAAAAAAAATTTTTAAGTTTATAAAAAAAATCAAGTTTTTCATATTGATAAAATAACAATAGTAAATTTCATTATTTAACTTAATCAGATATAAATTGTTAAAGTAGCTGAAAGATTTTTTATTTTTATTACTAGTTCTGAGCTTATATTATAATTTTATTCATTTATGATTTTGAATAGCCAATTAAACCTAAACAATAATATCTTAGAATATTTTTAATTTAAAGAATGTTTTTAAATTCCTTTTATTCAATCTCTAAATCTAATATATCTTTGAGTTTTTAAATTATATACTTAGATTTAGTAATTCCATTTTATGAGATAGAAATTTAATCCTTTTTGATTTATAAGATAGCATTATTTAACTTATTATTACCTTTAACAACTTTAATGTCAAATAATTATTCAGATTTTTCATCTAGATTTCCAAAGATTCTTGACATATGTGTTATTTCTTGTAATTAGTTCTAAATTTTTTCATAATAATACTAAATATTAATATGCTAAAATGGTTTAATCTCATCAATTAGTCCACATTCCTATAAATAAATAAAGTTTTATTTTTCACTCAACAAAATGCTAACTAATTTATATATTTTTTAAATGATTTAATGATTTTCAGTCTGTTATTTTAAAATATTTTTGTATGTTACTAAGTTAAATTCTGAGCATATAAACTTGCTAAATTGTTTTGCTGAGCTAATTATACTATCTATTATTTTTATCAAATGCTCTTGATATTACTATGTTTGTATTAAATTATCAAGAGATATTAGCAATTATTAATTCATCAATTAATGAATACCAAGATTTATTAATAAATCAAGATATTCTGTAATAATCAATTCATTTGAATAAAGAAAGGAACAGAGTCCTGCTAAATTATGTTCGCAGGCTAATATTGCATTAGTTTTTATAAAAATAAGATTACAAAGTGCTCTTAAGAGTGACTTTATCCCTTTAAAATATTACTCTTTTTATTATTTTTTATCTTTGAGATATTAAAGAAAATTTAAGACTATTTCAATTAAAATTGGGATAAAATCACCAAGAATTTGTTTAACCTGATCATTATTATACGTTAAATTTGAAATTAATTAAGACAAAGAATCTATAATACAAACTTCAGATGCTTAAGATAAGTGAGATTTCATGAACTTTGGTAAATCTGAATTAACAAATTTGAGCTACAAATACGATTAATTAAAACAGATTCCAGATAATGCATAATAAGAGTTAGCAACAATCTATGAGTTTTTACTTTTGAGATTTTAAAATAGTTTTTTTTAAATATCGGTTTCTAAAATTTCATTTTGAGCATTTTAAGATAAACATAATGAACCAATTAATTAAAAGCATTCTTAGTTGGCAACAGATAAATATTTTAAAATTTTATCAATAACTTTCTTTTGATAAAGAATTTCTGCATAATTGTAGTTGAAGCAATAAGAATCTAAACAAGTAAATATTTTTTTTAGTATTTTATTGCTATAATCCGATTTAATATTCAAAATCAAATCAATCTTATTTTTAGAGAATAATAATTATTACATGCATTTTAAATCTGAGTTTTAAATTAAAAATTCTAAATTTTCTTCTGTCAACTCATCTAAATATAATAATGACCAATCAAGGTCTAAAAGCTATTAAGTAATTTTTGCATTTCGAAAAGAAATGATTTTTGATAGACAGTAAAGAGAGCCTTTCAAATTGCTTTTTAATAGTAATAGAGTTGCTAAGCCAATTTTCAAAGAGTATTCTGCTATTTGAGGATCTACAATAATTTATTCGATAACCCAAAAATTTTAAAAATTTATATTAACATTTTTTCCATCAACCTTATTGTTCAATTAAAATTAGTTCAATATTTCATATTATTTTAATAATTGATTTACATGATTCTAATAATCAATTGTAACTATTGAGTTTCTTGTTGATTTTTCAATAGATGATTTTTTTTATAGCTCATCAATAGAAGAGTTTGAGTTAGAATTTGCATCCTTTAATAAAATTTCATAATTAAATTAAAGTTACTAGATTTATTCTACCCCTTTCTGTTCATCTTAATAATTTTCCATTTAATAAAAATATAGTTAAATGTATATAATTAAAAATAATAAATGAAACAAATTTTATAATTATATGTGCAATGAATAGCTCAAATTATCATTAATTATTGTCCGAGTAATATTACAGTTTCTATTATACTATTACCAGTCTTTCTGCCAACGTTTATTTCTAGAAATATGATTTTTAGATTACTTAACAAATTTCTAATTATTGCTTTTCATATAGTATTAGTTTTTCGTATTCTTCTAAAAAGGTGAGTTTATGTTCTAGTTTTTCCATCTACAAACTTATTAAAAGATTAATATGATTATTTAATTTCTCTTCTTCTCTTTTTTATAAAGATTTTGCCCTCTCTAAAGTTTCTTAATTCATTTAAATCACTCTTTTTTCTTCTTCAATAATATCTTCATTGTTGCTATTTGATTTCACTTCATCTAATTTTAGAAATTATTCTGAATCTTTCTTATTTAAATTATTTAATAATTTTTTGAAAATTGATAAATGAAAGCTAACAAGATTTTTTTAATCACTAAAAACATTGGGCTAAAATTAAAAATAAAGATACTTCTTCAAAAGCTATTCTACTTGATATATCATTAATTGATAATTTCTCTAAGCATTCTTTTGAATCTATCACTTTATCAATTTCTATTAAATGATCAATAGGATATTAAAGAAAGTGTAGAATCAATTCCTCTTCAGTATGAGAAGTTGAAAAAGTTTAATTTAATTGTTATGCTAATTTTTCCCAATTTGAATCAGAAGTTTCTTGAATAATAGAAATTAGGTAGCTCACTTCTTAATCATTTAAAATAGATCTAGGTTAATCAGATAAGATATGCAATTATTAAAACTTTTACTCAAGATTAGTTAGTTAGAAATCTTCTGATGTTAAACTGTTAGGAAAATTATTATTAGAAAAGCACTTCATACATAAATCTAATTTTATTGAATTTTTCTATTTATTTTCAACTTCTTTAACATTCTCTACTTTATCTTAATCTTACTTCTCTTTTTGAGTCTACTCTTTTTCAGAATACCATTATAGTCCACATAATATTCCACAAAAAGAACAACCAGGTCTAATTTTAATATTTTTTATACCTATATCTTTTAGAAAATATTTTGATGGCATTAATCAAAGTTATCTCATATTAATTTAAGTCACTTTTTTCATCAAGCTCATCTTTTGCATTTAATTATAAGGTTCTATATAGACCCTTTGTCAATGCTTATTGAGGTAATACTTTATTTGGACATGTATCTGGATCAACAGAATAATTTATTAAACCCCAATATTATAAAAATCCATGTATTCTTGATATTGTGCATGCATCACCTGCTAAGACTTTTCTACATGCAATTGTTGTTAAATATGTGCTTGGCTAACTTCTATAAAGGTTGACAATAAAATTTCTCTATTTTTTATAAAGCTCAGGTGTTTTGGAAACATGTTAATTTGAAAAAAATTCAGGAAAATGTTCCTTTTCAATTTCATTGATACTCTCCATTTAAAACCAATTAGCACAGGAAGGAATTATCAGTGAATGTTTAGATAATTGTCTTCTAATTTCTTGTTTTTATGATTCTTATGGCTATTATATTGGTATAGGTATTTATGGTTAAGGGGGCTATTATATTTGAGGTGGAGGTTAATGAATTTAGGGGAGTGGAGGCTAAGCAAACCATTAAGTTTAGGGTGGCATTTGCTTAACTTAATGAGGGTTTTAAGGTGTTGGGGAAGAATTCCAAATCAGTTTAGAGGGAATATTATCCATTTATGATTGAACTAAATTATTTTAGGGAGGCATAGGTGGATGGATATTAACAGGTTGAATTGGAGGAGGTAATGTTTATTTGATTTATGGAGGTGGTTTAGTAACAACTTATTTTTAAGCAGGTTTTGGTTGAGTAATTTTTTATTGATCAAGAAATGTTTTTGGAATTTTTATTTTTGTATATATTTTTTCTTCAACTTAATATCCATCCGGTACTTTTATCAAGGTAATTTTTACAAGTTGATCTTATTGATTCATTTCTTTTCAATGTTTATTTATTTAATTATATTAATATATTTTTCATCAAAAAACTTAAGCATAAATTAAATAATGTTAAAAATTTAAGAATTACTTTCTCATCATTTTTAAAAGAGATAACCAATAATAATTATGAATTTTAGTACACTTTAAAATAATCTAATGATAAAAATAAAATGATAAAAAGAATAAATAAATTCTTTTTTTTGATTATTATCTAAGATTCTATACTGAAGTGTTTAAATTAAAAATTAAATTTCTATTAATTTATCAATATTTCACATCGATTTTCGATTTGATAAATTAAAATATTAATCATCAAATCATATTATATAATATGCAATTTGATGATAATTTAGTTGATAATTATGCAGCTCTATACTTCAATTAAGAGCATAATATATTATGACTATTATTTTTAAGAGTAAAGATCTCTTTTCTTAATTAAATAATTATTTATTATTTACGTCAGAGAGTTTAATAATGGGAAATTCAGTATGTTATAGCTAGGATGAAGTTCGAAAGAAGGAATGTCTCCCTTTAAGAATAAAACGAGCTATGGAAATTAAAAAAAAGCTTAAAATGATTGTGCTAAAAGGAGCTAAGGAACTGGAAAATGAATCTGAAAAAACTGAAATGCTGGAATGTTTCCTTGATTTTTTTAAAGTAATTTTTAAATTGATTAATAGGATAAACTTCTTAAAGTAATTTAAAAGTATGAATTTCCAAAACCTGGTAAAGACTTTTTTTAATCTGGTTATGTTTTATCTTTTGCAAATATAACAGATATTACTCAGTAGATTCATAAAGATGATGGTGATGTAGACTCTTAATTGTTAAAAAGTTTGATGGATGATATCAATGAGTTAAAAGAAAAGTCTCTTTTTTATTTAATTCTCAAAGAATTCGACAGATTCTACAAATAATTAGTGTTATCAAAAAAAGATAAATTAGACGATATAACAATATCTCCTAATTTGCATCATATGTCTGATACTAAGAGTTTTATTAAAACACAATTACCATTAGAAATTTAAGAAAAACATTAAACTATCGAATTTGAAGACTGTTTTTTTTCTAAGAGAAAATTAAGTGCTTTGATTAAGGAAGATAAATGTTTGATAGATTACCTAATTATTAGTATAATTAACCTGTTTGAATTTTTAAAATAGACAATTTACTTGACATATTCAGATATAATTAAATAATATATTTCTCTAAATGATATTTAAAAATATCTTTAAAATAGTTTGTTTTTCTAAAAGCTAGTTTAACATTATATATACGATAAAGAATTATGTATTGGATAACTAATTGAAAAGATCATTCCTTTAAAATATTAAAATTAATAGATCTAATATGAAGGTCAAATATTGGAAAGATAATAAACTTTAGATATATCCTTATATCCAGAACCTGGATAATAAACAATGATTAAAGAATTTGAAGAGGATATTTTTGCTCATGATTTTGGAAAACTAAGATAAGAATAGTATTTCAGAAATAGCTCAAGGATGTCAATAATTGAGATGTAAAATAAAATTATGAATGCAATTGAATAAATTGAAAAAGAAAATCTACCTTATAAAGAATTATTTATAATTTTGAAACAAATGTTTGAGGAAGTTAAGCCATATAGAATATTTCTGTTGATTTAAAAATTGTCTGATGATATTGTTGATATTTATTTATAGTCTAGACCTTAAGATTAATAAAATAAATATCGTGAACTTATTTTAGCAGAAGATAATAAACTTTCAATTATTTTATTTTTACTGCATAAATTTTAAGAATCAAGTAAATGTAATTTAAACAGATTATTTTATAAATTAAGATTTATGATGGATTACAATTAAGTTCTTGATGATAGAATAAAATATGAAATGGATTAATCATTTGTGAGATTTTATGCCTGTCTTGAGATGATGATCTAAACTCCTTGATTTTTATTCTATTTAACTTTAAAGCAAAGTTACCTTGATTTTATTTGTTTATTTATTTAAAATATCCATCTTTGATAATATTATAATTATATCTAATTTTACTTGTTTCATAATTTTTCCATATTCTAAATGCTTCAATTATTATTATTCTAAATTATTTAGAAGACATATAATAAGAATAAGACAAAATTTAAATGTAATAAAAATTAAATCATTATTAGTTATTTATATTTTCATATATCTTCTTAATGAACTTTAATTAACGAGTGAAAAAGTTATGGAGGAATAAAGTCTTCCTAATCATATAATCCATCTTTTTAGTAAATCAATTTTATTTTTTCATTTTTTAAAAAGCGAAATGATTCTATAATCTTGCATTGCTCTGACTTTTCGAATTAGGAATTATTCAAAGTTTTGTCAATTTTCTAATAAGTTTCATACAATTTAGATAATGAATTATCGTTGGATTATAGAAATTAATGATTGAATACTTCATCCTTCATTTTATAATCAAATTTTCCATTTAAATACTTTATCATCATATCTAATACTAAGTTTGTTGATCGAAATAATAGTCTAAGTGGTAAAATTGTTAGTAAAACAATAATAACATCTACCAATATAGCATATAGACTCATATTTGTGAACCAAGAAACTACTTTCTAAATTTAACCATTTAATACTGAAGCAATCTCTTATTCATAAGTATTATTTGATAAACTAATATCATTTACAATAAATACGTTAATGCTATAAGTTCTGTTTAAGGTAATTAAGATGCTTTTATATATACATTTTATTTTAATAAACTATTGTACTTGTAAATTGGATATATAGTTTGGTTTATAGATTATTTTATCTCCTCCCAATCAGTGATATTAAATCCTGTTAAAGTTTCATTATATATATAATCGGTTTTATTTTCCATTTGATGATCTATAAAGCTTTTTGAATAAACAAGTGTTCCAATTTCATCTAGAATCATCAAACTTAATTTATCCATATACAAAAAATCTTGTAATTTAGGAAAATTGATTAATAATGATGCTATTCCTGTAACTTATAGTTTTGGATTAAAGAGTATATTTGAATATGTAGCCAATAAGTAATTATAGTTGCTCATTTAAAACAGTTTACTGATTTTATATGGAATAAATTTTTTCGTAGATTAGAGTTCTTAGGTGTAATTAATGAACCACTATTATTAAAAGGCCTCTAAAGTTTCATTCTTTGGTTTCGTCGGATAATAAACAGTAAATAAATTGTCTACTATAGATGTTAAATATATTTATTAAGAAACAATGTAGAAATCAAAGGTGTATTAATGAGTATGCAAAAGATTAACCATATTTTCAAAAGGCTTTATTTAAGCATCTTGTAGGCTGAAATTACCAAAAATTGTATAGCAATTACTTGAAATTTATATTTATTGATTTAATTGTTGCATTATATTGCAGTGCTAGAGTTCTTAGACAATTTTAAGATCTACAGTATGCATCCAATAGTTCAAGAATACTAATTTAGACATTTTAGATGTAATCATATAAAATGCAAACTTCAACACATACATAGCATCTTTCGATTAAATTGAGAGAGCTCTAGATTTGTGAATTCATAATACTTTTTGTTTTGTAATGATAATATTTATTCTGAAATCAATTGGACTTAATCAGTAGCCAACGATAATTGAATGTTTTAACATATAATAAGTATTGCTAAACTAAATCCAAGGATGATAAATGTGTATATTAATAGAATTGTACTCATTCTTAACTTCTATGTTATTTTTTTCAAACCATTTTAATAAAGTGAATTGTTTTTTTATGATTTAGATATTGGCATTTCTAAAAATGAATTATTAATTAAGATAAGTTAAAATATTTGATATAAATAGGGAGTTAGAGGGATTTTTGAAACAAAAAATGGTAAATTTACATCAATCTAAATGAAGTATATATTCATTTAATTAGTACTAGATTGTAAAATTTAGAAATATAATTCTTCTTGGATTTGTAAAGTAAATTATTAAGAATTAAAAATAACTGTTTAATAATCTAATATTATATATATGTATATATATATGTTGTTGAATTTTAGTTATTTTAATAATCTATATAGATGTAAAATTTATTATGTTTTTTTTGGAATGTAGTAATTATACAAATTTTTTATTTTCTTGTTTCTTCAAAGTAGATGAATTAAATGTTATTTATTGAGTTCAAATATTACCAAATTACTATTAATACTCTATATATTTCTCAAACTGAATAACTAATTTGTTATTATTTAATTACTTTTTATAATGTCTGACAGATCCCGAACTATCAGCCTTAGAAAATAACAGATATTAGAAAAAATTCAATATAATTTCCAAAAAATTGATCCTGCTTTCCAAGTAAAATACTTTATTGGGGAAAATTCAAATTTAGTTGAATATTAAATGAACAAATGGAATCGGCAAAGCAGACAAAAAACTGTTTATGAGTAATAAATAGAGAGAGCAATAAAAACATTACGTCATCCATTTACACTAGAGAGTTATGTTGATAAACCATAATTCATTACTCCTAGTTCAGATAAGAATCATAAAGAGATTAAATAAAATGAAGAAAAAACCTAGATTGCAAAATCCCCAATAAAAGAAGAAACATTAACTAGAAATTGTATTGCTACACCATCAAGTCCATTAAAGTTATTTATTATTTAATATAGGAAGCTGTTCACCTAATATTAAGATTTAGTAAAAGTTTAATATATTACATCCTCTGAACAGATGAAAAAGCTAATTCAATAATATTCAGATTCTGAAAAACCATATTCATCTTCTAGAAACCCAGAATTCACTCCATCAAGATAGATAAACTTAAAACGAAAAAAAAAGGGAACAAATTAATTTTCTTTGATTCCACCATCTCCTATTCCTAGAAATCGAGAACATTTATTATAAAAAAACACTAATAATTTAATTCTGTTAGATGAACTCTAAGATGATTTAGAAAGTTTTAGAAAATCATTAGGAGAAATGTAGAAATTTAAAAATTTATTCCCAAAAAGATAATAAAAGAAATCTAAATATGACTTTTTATTTTGATCTTAAATTGTATGTAATTTAATTGAATTTATTATTGAGAGTTAAGATTGAAATGTTATCACTTATAGTAGTCTTTTAATTAATAACTAATATATTTCATATGGGTATTATTAATTGATTAATTTCTATCAATTTCAAATAGCATTACTTATTAATTAGCTAAATTTAATTATGTTTAGCCTTTAAAGAACAAATTAATAAATATATTATTACAACAAAAAAATTTTATAGGAAATTTAAGAAAAATTATATGTATAAACATATTTAACCTGAAGTTCTTTCAAACTTTCTTTAGATTTTTAATTTAAACTAAACTTAAATTATATAAGAAACATTTTATTCTTTATAGATAATTAAATTATCAAACTCTCACATATTTGATTCAATATACTCTAATGGTCTTTCTGATTATCCTAATACTGTATTTAATTATTGAGGTTTTAAAAGAATTATTTAAAACTCTTCTTATTTCTTTATTTAATATATTATTAATTTACTTTGAATTAATTCAAATCTTAAAATTTAGGTGAAAAATCTGGAGAACCTATCTCATAATTATTTCTAATTAACTAAATGTATAATTCATATTCTTTATTTTGTGCACTGTTAATTTCAAAAATTTATGGAAATTCTAGTTTATCACTAATTTCTGCTAAATTTCCTAATTAAAATAACTTAATTATCCAATAATTCACTTAAATTAAATCCACATACAATTAGTACATTAGCATATTTGTAGTATTATCTGGAGACTAATCCAAGATACGATCTAATTTAGTAATAATTTAAAACATTGATTTTATAAAACAAATTAAGCTATAAATTCATACATATTCTTAGCATCATTTAGTATCAAAATTATAAGATTTTATATTAAACTATTAGATTTTTTTACTAAAATATTCTCTAGATAAGGTATAAACTAAATTAAGAGGAATATTTTACCAGTTTTAGTTTCTTCAATATAAAAACAATTACAATTTATGAAGCTAATTAATTTTTGAAATCCATTTAATAAAAATCATTAATTTTGCATGAACATAACAAAAAATATTGGTTTCTTTCTGTAATCCCTTTAAGATAGTCTCGATATTAAAAAATTAAATTCTAATATAATTATTGTAGAATAGGAAGTTATTTAATTGGTTGTCTGTAATAGATCAAAACCTAATCTAAATCAACAAGGTCTCCAAAATCTCTACATGATAATAGAAGTCTGTGAATAATTATTAATATCTTGAGGGAAGCAATATCATTTCTGCATGATTTAAAATGTTGATATAAAATCTTAAATGATTGTTGAACATGTAACTCCTATATTTACCCATTAAAGCCTTCTTATAAAACTTAGTATTTTAGTTCATTTACTAAGTGTAATTTAGAACTCTCTAAAATTCTTCTTAATACCTATTATTGAATATCTATATACAATCTCAAACTCTGTTTAGGACTAAAAATCCTTAAAGTATTTTATTATTTTCTTCATTTCAAATAAGTAAATAATTAATGTAATTATTAAAGTAGTGGAAAAATAACATTTTTGATTGTTACTTTCTTTTATTAATTAATTCAAATAAATTATGTAATCATAAATAAAACAATTTTTCAATATATACCCCTAATCTAAAACATCTCAATGGTATTTAGAAATCAATTAATAATAAAAAAGTTTAAATTTGAGAGAGAGATTTAAAAATAAGAGAGAACAATAATTTATATTAATGGCTACTCAAAATTTATTAATAATGATTATGTTAATTCATAATAAAAGTATTAGATAAATAAATATGATTAATTTTGTATATTTTGATAAAGTTAAATCCCATTTAATTAAAAAAATAAACTTATCTAATTCATTCTTTTTTACTATTATTTAGATATATATCAAAATAATAAATGATTCTATAGGAATTATAAAATTCAATATCTTTTCAAATAGATGATTGATTTTCAATAATAACTAGTTCCAATTTTAAATAAATTTTTATAATACTATATTATTATTCAATTTTGGTTTTAGATGAATCATCTAATTTTCTAACATTTAAAGCCTAGAAAAGCAAAAGAATTATGAGTTCTTAAAATTTAGAATTGTTTCAATTTTAATTATAACTTAATTCATTTAATTGTAATTTATCATTTTATCAACTTTCTATTCTATAACTTTTATTATTAACTTGAATTAACAGGATGATTAAGTTTTGTTTTAGTATTGGCTCAATTAGTAAAATAATTTTAATAAGGTTCAGTCAATTTGAAAGTTTGATTTAGTTATTTGTTTGAATTACAATTACTTAAATTATTTCATTAATTATATTTGATGTTAAGTAATTATACAAAGTCTTTAAATGTAAATTAATTCTTTGTTTTGAGAAAGAAGTTAAAAATTTAAATTATTTAGTAATAATAGTATGAAACGCAATAAATTTGGTTATACTTTATTCTTTGAGAGTAGTGATAAAATTTAAACATGTCAATAAATATTTGATTTCACTGAATAATTATATCACTCATAGTTTTAAATCAAAATAAATATTTGAATTCGTTAAAACAATAATGAGAATAGTATAAGTTTGTTGGCAAAATTAATTAAACCATAATTCTCGTAATTTTTCAATGATTTTCATTTAATTTTAGAAAAGTCATATCTTATCTTTAATATTAAGTTATTTTAGTTATGATAGATATTTTGTGATATCATTAAAAGCATCAAAACATTAATAAAATATTTATATGGAAGTTGAATAATAGTAATAGCCAGTTAATATTAGAGGACTTAATCTTTCTAGAATATCTTAATCAAGCATATAGATGAATGATGAGGATGATTTTTATGGAGGACATTCAGGAAGATCAATTGAATTAAGTATTAGAGAATGTCAGGAAGCGAATGAATTTAAAAAAAAAAGTCTATAAATTGAGTTGTCCATAGTTGACTATTTAAGCTCAATGAATATTAAAATGAAAACAGATCCAAAAGCCAAATAAGATCGTTACTATTCTAACTTAAGAAATAACAACAAAAGAAGAGCCTATACAACTCTAGAAATTGAAAGGGATTTTTCAGATAATACACCAGATTCAACTATCAAATCATCTTAACTTTCATTAAAAGTAAATTCACTTCTTGAAAGAAGAAAGACTCAACTAAGTTTTGCAAGCACAAATTAAAGTATTTCAAGTTTATAAGCAATTTCATATACAAAATTAGAAAGAAAAGTATTTAAAAAGTCAAAATAATATGAATGTGAAGAAATAGATAGCATAATATCTAATTAATCTCCTTATTGAAATGGAAATTTGATTATGTTATTTGTTTTACTAATCCTTCATCAAAATTATAACTATTTATCAAAATTTTTTTTAAATCTATAATCTTATAAATAAAACGAGATTTTTCTTATAATCAGTTTCCAATAATGTTGATCTATTTTAGAGTCCTTATAAAGTCATTTTTATAATCTAAAACTCCCTTTAATTTAGTCATTAACTTATGAAATAACTCTTCAAAAAAGAAAACGAATACATATTGTATTCATATCTAATATATGATTTGAATACTCAATCTTAGATTGTTTTTCATTTAACATCTCTCCCTTCATGTTTCATACTTTTTTATTTTATTATGGTTTAATTTTTTTAAGAAATTTGAACTTTTATCTTGCAAATAAGGAAATTATGTAATAGTGTCATTTCGACTTATAATATAATTACTTTGATTTTCCATAATTAATGATAATTTTTTATTTGATTGCATTTGTTTAAGGACTAATTCCTGATAACTGCAAATGGACAGACCCAGATGGGTTTCATTTTGATATCAATCATCTAAAAAGAAAAGACAATTATAAAGTAACTTCATTTAGTGGGGCAATGTCATTCGAATTTAATTTTTGTACATATGGTGTTTAATGCAATCACAGAGAGGTAAAGAAGGTTGAGTATTAAGGGTTGCTGCGTTTTAATTATTTCATAATAAATGTTACACAATAGGCTTAAAATCTGAATCAGATATATGGTATGATAGTTTTGGTTTAAATCTAAAATATAAAAATGGTAAGGAGTATTAAATGATGATAGGTGATTTATGTGGAGAAACCTTATAATATTCTGTTTAATTTTAAATTTAATGTGGAGAAGAAGCTCCATTTAAATAAATTATGACAGATTCTCCATGCAATATCATGCTTTAGACAACCCATCCTATGGCATGCAGAAAATATGAGAGTTACTTCTATTATTATTTGTTTTCAATTGTTTTCATAGCTGCAGGTTTATTCTTAATGAAGAGAAAGAAAAAGTAAGAACAAGGATATGTGTTAGTTTGATTGTATAATAATAATGAGATAATAACTATTCTGTTTCACATTGGATATCATTTATTATTTTAAATATTTCCAATTTATTTCATCATATCTTGTATATTTTTGTATACATCCAATTTTTGAAGCAATTTTGGATCTTTTTAGATATCTTCTATTAATTATTATGAATATCCTTTGCTCACTAAAAATCAATATTTTATTTATACTTAATTCCCTAAAACTATCATTAGGTGGAGGGTGTTAGACTTTTACGAAAACTTTATGCATTTTTATTAAATAATTTACTTATTCAATTGTAGTCCCTGAACCTTTTGCTATTCGTTTAATTCTAGAATTTGATAAAGTAACTACAATACATATAATGATATACCCTCTCCATCTAATTCTTTTGATGTCATGGAATCCATTATATAAAGATTTCTTTTAATATTCTAAATTTATTCTTATTCTGTTATTTTAGAAACAAATATATTAGTAAGGAAATTAATTGATCCAAATTTTATAATATGTTTTAATTCTGATTCTAAATCTCTTAATGTGAATTATTTTTCTTTAGGTCCAATTAAAATAAAGTTATTTAGATTTTTTATTAATCCCTTCAAATTTTCTAATCCTAATAATTTAATAATAAAAGATGAGGATTAAAATTCTTAAAAATCCTCAAAACATTCTCCATAACATACAAAATCGATAGGTGTATTGGTTGATACAATAGAAGAAATTGCTCCTCCACCTTTAGCATGACCGTCCAATTTTGTTATTATTATTGATCCTAAATTAAAAGTACTTTTAAAAGCTAATGCTTAATCATAACAAGATTATCCTAATTAAGAATCCATTACAAAAATAACATTGTCTGTTTATATCATAAAATCTATTTATTTCATTTCTTCAAATAAATCATTTTATTATATATGCCTTCCTGGAGTGTCTATAAGTATAATTTCAATTCCCTCTTTTTTGAAAATCTCTACACCATCCTATACAACTTTAACTGGATCTGTTTCAGTATAAGAACTTGATATTTCATTTGAAAAAATACCCATAATATGGAACTCTAATTTTGATAGCATTATATTGTATCTGATCTAAACACATTTTTGAATAAGTATTAGCACTAACTATCCCAACCTTCCATCCTCTTTTTTAATAATAATAGGCATATTTAGAGCAAGTACTAGTTTTACCAGATCCCTTTATACCTATAAACATTATAATATTAGTTTTTCCTTTAATTCAGTTATATAATATACCTTTTTTTGGTGCAAATGATGAAATATCATTTTTAAATAATTTATTCAATTCCTCAAATATGGATTTTTAAATAAGTTTTTATAGATTTATAAATTCTGTTTCATAAAGTTTGAACATCAATTTAATATTTTCTCTAAACTTTTATATTAATTTAACATTGACATCAGCCTTTAATAATGCAAGAGATATTTCTTATAGTATCTAATTAACAAAAATTTCATTAATTTCTTAAGGTTAATTTAATTTATTAAGAACTTCTTTTATTGATTATCCAAGTTCTCTTAACACCATTTTAAAAATACCAATAAATATCAAATTAATAATTTCCTTTAATTAAATTACAAAACTTAATAAATTTCATAAAATTATTATTACTTTGACACGTATATTGATATAATTATAATAAATGAATAGTAAATTTATTAGTATTAATAATATTTTATTAAATATTTTATGTATCGAATTAGGATCCAATTATTATAAAAAAAGTGAATCTCTATTAATTAAAAATATAGGAATTATTAAATTATAAATCCAATTCCAATTGAAACAGTTAAAACTATCAAATAAAGTAAATTCTATAATATTCTTATTTTGATTAATTGTAATTGAAGAGTTATTAATTATAATTTAGAATTGCTGATATCTAATAAATTCAATTATTTGTCATTTATAATAATGTTCCTTTTTTTGATGTTAATTATGTCAATTATAATGAAATTTAGATAATCATTATAAATTTTTGATTAAAGTGATGATTAAATATTAGCATTTCTTTGATTAAATTTTATGTATAAATTATATATTATATAATATTGCAAGCTATTTTTAAACAACTTGATACTTGTTTTTTGCATGAAATAAATTCAAAAGAAATCATCCAAATTAAATTATGGAAGTTAGCAGACTTAATCATCTTCATCGAAAATCATAAGTTTGACCATATTTCGATTGAGAGATTCTTCCTCTATTTATAAGTTCAAATCATCTTATTAAGTTGACATAGTTTGTTTTTACACTTTTTGAGTCTTTCTCTGTACTAATGGTGATAAGGGGTTAAACTTTTAATGATGTGATCTAAGATTAATAATGAAAATACCTGCATTGACTTGGTGATCGAGTTCCAATAACCTCACTCATTGATTTAAATATTTTATTATTTTTCTTTATGTCAGAATGTTCCTCTAAGAAGTATAAATATTTTTCATGTTCTTCCTTTGTCCAATGACCAACATTTTTTTTAGGGGAAATCAATTCAAACTTCTTTATTCTTTTGGATTTTGGTGATTATGAGAAAGGAGATTCACAGGAATCATCTAAATCCAATTATTATTCATAAGAATTCAAAGACATTATTTTTATTAAAAAACCAAAATAATTTATTATTACTTTAAGTATATTGTTCTCATTTTAAAGATTTTGTTTAATATAATTAGTGTTAATTTCATCTCCTGTAATTTCTAATTATCATTTGAAGGCTTTGCAAAATTATTAAATTTATTATTTAATAATCATAAGTATAATTCTTTTTATGATAAAAGAACTTTATGATTATATAACTTTAAATATAAATAAATACTTAATTTTATACAATAAATTAATAGCATACATATTATATAAAGAATTAAATAATTAATAAAAAAGTCAATCTTTAAAAATCTCATCTATTAAACTTCTCCTTTAATTATTTTATAAATAATAATTATGATTATAAATAACATAATCTTAATTTGAGATTTCACTTTGAAAAAAACAAATTCAATAAACATTATCAAAGTATATTTTAATAAATAGACTATTATTATTATTTTTATCCCTCATATTCAATTTTGAATTATTTCATTTTGATATTTCAATTTAACATAAAGATTGTGATATAATAATTTATAAAAATATTTAATATTATAAGAAGAATATATTTTATGATATATATTTATTAGAATTTTAATATTATATTTTATTATGAATTAATTCCATACTTATGAATATTTTCATTTCTCTTTTTTAATTATTCTTTTATAAAAATATTGATAAATTATTCTATTCATTTTCATTTTTAATCATCAGACTTAAACTTAAGTATATTTTTTTATAATTCATTCTAATATCTATTTGATTGAATGTCTTGAACGTAATTCAATAAATAAGTAAGTTAATTATTTTAGATATTATCAAAATTTATTATTTAACTGATATAATTATAATGCGAAAATAACCACTTTAAAGTAGATCAAGCTTTTCTTGTAATCCAAAGGGAAGAGAAAAACCACTTAATGAGTCATAAGTTAGTAATTTAGTAACAGAAAATTAAAAGTTACTTTAACAAAATGATAAACTAATATAATAATTGGAACATTTAAGATAAGAATATGAATCATTAGCTACAAGTGGAATCTAAAGTATTAAGAGTTAAAGAAGTAAAAAAATAGAATTTGAATCATCAAATGATGAATTGAATAAATTGAAAATATAGAAGGAAAAACTTATAGTTGATAATGAATGTTTAAGAAGAACAATAACTAAGTTATAACATTAGTTGGATGAATAGAGTAAATATGTTGAAAATTTGTAAAGATCTTAATATGATTATGAATAATTAAAATAACGTTTAGAAGAAACAGTTTAAGTAGTTAATGACTTAGAAATATAATTATAAGAATAATATCAATAATAAAAATAATTTGAATATAACTAAAAAGTAATAACACTTAGTAATCAGGATACATAAGAACATCTATCATCCCATTAAAAAATGAATGAAATATAAATCAGTTAACTTAAAGAATAAAACAATAAACTAAATAAATTGCTTGAAGAAAGATTGGTTTAGTTGGAGAATATAACAAAATTATTAAATTAACGAAATGAAGCATATAATAAATTATAAGAAAGTTATGATCAAGATATAACAGATATGAGATAAAATAATTCCAAATAGAAATCTCATTCATCTGATTTTGAGAGAAAAGCTTTATAAAATTAAGTCAATTAGCTTAAATAATAAGTTGAAAAATGCCAATAAAATAATTGTCAACATAGATCAAAAGTATAATAAAAGAATGATGAAGAACAATAAAAAATAATTTAAGATCTTTCATCTATGTTAAAATAAAAAGAACATTAAATTAAGGTTTAAGAATAATAATATGAGGAACTTCAATAAAATACAAAATAAATTTAAACAGCAATAGCTTCTAATAATTTTGCTAATAATTAAACTTAATAACTTTTGCAATAATAAGTATAAACTTTAATGAAAGAATTAGAGATACAAAAATAACAGAATCATAAAATCATATATGATTACAATTAATTAAGAAATCTGAATTAATAATTGAATGAGAAATTGAACTTTTATAGTTAAAGTTAATAGAAAATGATGCATAATTATTCTCATTCTTTTGTCTCATCTCCTGGAAGATTAGACACTTATCCTATTAAGACTTCATCAGCTTTAACAAATAGAACCAATATTATGTAAAATGCCCCTGATTCTCCATTTAGAAAATAGAAACTTCACTTATTATTCACTGATGATTAATAAAAGTTACCACCCAATTTATCTACTAAAAGTAAATAATTTTTATTAAACTATTTTAGAAATTGTTTAAGTAGCTTCAAAACTATTTGAAGGTGATTAAAACTAATAACCAAATAAAGACAGATTTATATTACATGATTGAATAAAATATCAATTTTATATCTATGAATTGCTATTTAAGATTATGTCAACATCATCTTCTTTAATA